TTGATCTCCTTCATGGCTGTTTTCCAAACCATAGCTTGAGCATTTGTAGTCACCAGTATGACTGACAGTCTAGAACTGTGCGGAAAACATGCCACTCAGGCATGAGTGAACCAGGACTCTTGGGCTCCATGAGTGCAAGGCTATGCTTTATCATATTACTAGAGAGTTCACACAATGTATAAATCAAGATATAGTCATTCGGTACCTGCTCTTACATTGGAGTAACAATCCTGTTCTATTTTCTTAATTGGGAGAGCTTTCTATGCAGCAGAAAGTTATATAATAACAATACCTAGCTCTTACTTAGTGCTTTTCAGCAGTAGATCTCAAAGCACTTAACGAAAGAAAACAGTACCATTGTCCCCATTTTTTTACAGATGGGAAACTGTGGCAGGAGGAGGTGATGTGAGTTGCCCAAGATCACCCTGCAAGCCAGTGGCAGAACCAAGAATAGAACCCAGGTCCACTAAATCCCAGTCTGGTGCTGTAAACAGGAGGCCATACTCCCTCCCACAATCTATAAATAGCCCTCATATATTCAGTTTTGCCCGACAATTAACGTAGTCAGTTGTTCTTAAAGACATAAGGCCTCATTCTGATCTGACACTGGTGCAAATCAGAGGTAATTACACTGAAGTTAAAGGAGCTACATTGATGTAAGGGCTTGTCTTCACTACCCGTTTGGATCGGCAGGTAGAAATCGATCTCTCGGGGATCGAATTATTGCGTCTCGTCAGGACGCGACAATCGATCCCCGAATCGACGCGCGTACTCCACCAACCCAGGTAGGAATAAGCGCCGTCGACGGGGGAGCCGCGGCGGTCGATTTGCCGCCGTTCTCACAGTGGGGTAAGTCGGATTAGATACGTCGAATTCAGCTACGCTATTCGCGTAGCTGAATTTGCGTATCTTAAATCGATCTCCCCCCGCCCCCCCAGTGTAGACCTAGCCTCAGTGTGGCATAAATGGGAATCAGGTCCATTGTACCAATCTATCTTAGGTGTGTCTCACAAACAAAGCTGCAAAAACCAATAACTGTGGAGCCAAAGGGGACTTTTCTCCTGGGCTAGCTAGTAAGAACTGTACTAAACTTGACTCAGCTGGGTGTTGCTACTTGGATATGCTACCCATGTCTTCAAAAAATGTTCTCTGGAATGTCTAAAGCTGGGATAGAGTAACGTTAGACCCAAAGGATACTGAAGCTCTACACAGGAAGGCACAGAATTTTCATCCACATACTGAAAACATCATTCTTTGTGTAAAGGCATGGAACATGCGGGAAAGCATACATGGAAAGCTTCATCTTTTGTGTGAAAAAATTTTTTTATGCCACAAATAATTTAAAGTAAACCAAAGAGAGATTTGGAATTGAAATGGGCATTTTATTTACTTTTTAAATCCACCTCCTGCTAATTAAGTCAGACATTCCATGAAGAGGTTAATTTTGTTATGAACCTGTCGCATCCTTCAAAATATTTCAAAACTCTAATTAGATCACCTGAGTGGAAGACCAGATAAGCACTAAGTAAACAAAATAAAACACAACATTTCAAGCTGCTGAGCAGGATTTAGGATGTGTTTCCATTTCGCCCATAAACCAATATACACATTTCTGAACAGTGAACCCAACGCTGCTGAGAAAGCAAGGCTTGTCTAACAAATGGCTAAATTATGCCCACTTAATAACACACTTGTATCGGAGGGAAGATTATGGTCCAAAGGGAATTTCTTTAAAAAATGCTGACATTGATTCAAATTTCTGAAGCTCCCTTGGCCTGTCTTTATGACATTTCTCTCCCCATAACAAATAAACACAAACACACACACACACACACACACACACAAATATGGCTAACAATGAATACCACACAAATTCAACATAGAATATTCATCTCTATTAGAAAGATCACTCAAAGAACCACAAGTTTATGGGATTCTCTAGTGGATTGAAAATTACATGGAGTACATACCCTTCCCCCATCCCAGCCATGCTATCACTAAATAAAATGAATGTCTGTATTGTTGAAACAGCTATATTATTTTGCTACATTAATATTTGTTCCTGGAAACATACAAACAAATACTCTTTAATTCACTAAAAAAAGTAAGCCTGACATTAATTTGCAACAAGGAAGATTTAGGTTAGATATTAGGAAAAAAAAAAACTAACCGTAAGGATAGTTAAGTACTGGAATAATTTATCAAGTAAGGTTGTGGTATCCCCATCATTGGAGGTTTTAAAGAACAGATTAGACAGTAATGGTCGAGGATGGTCGAGTTATACTTATACCTTCCTCAGCACAGGAGGGTTTAACTAGATGACCTCCTGAGGTCCCTTCCAGCCTATCTTTCTATGATTTGACGCACAACATGGATCATTTGGGAACTATGAGCTCAGTGAGCAAGAAGGTACTGCTCAGCCTATGCTTTCCTTGTGCCTGGAATTTTCATGTGCCTAGTTTCTGTTTAAAGGAAATTACTTTCTATGCTGGAGAAAAATCAAAATGTTAAAGAAGGGAAAAATAGACGGGGAAGGCAGAGAGTGGAAAATATGATGGAGAAGGGAAGTAGTGAGTGAAGCCAAGGCGAGGTGGCATCCTCACTTGAGTTTTTCCAAACCAAAATTAAAAGCTGGTAGAAAAATTCCAACAATACACTTTGGTGTTTCATTGAAATTGAAACATTTCATAGGGACAGACAGCTGTTGGTAAAGTTCCAACAGAAGTCTCAGCTGGCAGGCTTGCAAGGAGCTGAGAGCCTGGAAGCCATGGAAAGCCTGGCCCTAGGGCTTGAGGCTCCTTATCAGCCTGGCATTCCAAGCTCATGATCCTTGGCAGCCCACCTGGTAGGCAGATGGAGAGCTGTGAGCCTGGAAACCTCATAGGTCCTGGCTCCCAAGCTCACCACTCCTCAGCAGCCAAGGGATCTGAAGGCTTCAGGGGCACAGCTCTCTTCCCCCCCCTCCCAAAAAAAAGACTGCCTCCAAAAGTCAAAGCTTCTTTTCACAGAGAATTTTGAAATTTTGGGGGTTTGTTCTGAATTGGAATTAAAACAAATATCAAAATCCTTCATGAAAACAGACTTACCTTCCTCCACCCAGCTCTAGCTAATAGGAAAATAGAGGGAAGGTGTTGACTGGAAATAAATAGTTTAAGTTAATGGAGCACCCAGGGCACTTGAGTGCAACAGGTTCTCTATTGACTGGAGATTCAGCTTGACCAGGAGGCTACCTTCCCATATCAGTAAATTCTTTTAGGGCCTGATGGCTCTTACATCACTGAACTCTTGTTGCAGTTCACCCAGTCTTACAGCAAAACACTCCAATATCTATTAGTAACCCTAATTTATTCAACAAATTGCACTGAGAAACTGAAGATAAGCATATAATACCATAGATATCTTCAGATCCGCATCTCTCCCTTTCCCGTGATAAGCTTCCATTCTTTCCCCCAGTGTGGATTCTTCTTTCTACTCACTACAACAGACTCCACTTCCTTCTAAAATTTCTCCAACACTCCACAAATCCAATCATCTTGAACTCTCCTCCTTTCTGCTGGATCCCTCCTTTCTACCCCACATACCTCCCCACTGCTACCCACCTCTGTTTGCCTGCCAGTACTTTCCCCTACCACCAGCCCCTATTGGATATCTGCTCCCACATGACTTGTCTCTCTGCTGACTTTGGATATTTATCTCTGAATATATGTACCACAGAATTTAGAGTTTTCCCTCTTCATAAGGGATCTACACGGCCATTGGTATTCAGGCACGGATATGTATAGATGGCCCAATAGCATTAATCTTTTATGTCCCAGTTTTGTAATGTAATTGGGTTGTATGGGAATATGTTCAGACTGCAGAATAAAGTGGGCAGTCACCTTTTCCAACTTTCCCTACAAATAAATTCCATACACTATATAAAGTTCAAAGTGGCATCCCTCCTGTGGTTGTAATTTATCAATAAGAAGATATAAAAGTCAGCTCAAATCTGCTCCGAAGGCCTGGTAGGTTTTGGGATTCTGTCTGGGACTATTCAACCCACACTCTAGATCCTCACTCACATGAGAGCCAATCTAACCTTCCTGTATATAAAGGTCACTTAAGTCATCTGCCTCAGTGAGTCAGCAGAACCCACTCAACCCTTTCTGAATAGGATCAACACCTGCTAGCTGCATGGGTGTCAGGTGTATAGGCAAATAACACGCAGCCTATTGCAAGAATACTTTGAATCGTCCATTTCTTCATTATTTCCCTTCATTTTTTTTAACAAACTCACTCCACTTCCCATAAAGAACGAGATATTGAGTAGCTCATCTTTATTTGCTTAATAATATTTTTTGTATTTATACATCAGCTTAATCTGTAATTTCATTTTGGTACTCTGTAATTCATTATGCTCTACAGATTGGTACTCAATGACAGCTCCCTACACAAGATTGTTAAAGGGGCCACAGCAGGCAAGGCCTTAGGGTTCATGAACTGCAGGTGTCCGCTGCATCACACACCTGTGTCCAGAGAGAGCACACTCCCTGCAAGAGTAGCCATGGAGCAGAGAAGTACCCCTTATTGGCCTACAGTTTAGGGAGAAGGATCCTCTTGTGACTCAGAATTCATCCTCATCAACAGGTTTATTAGTTAGGCTGAGCTCCCTGCACCAGGACTTCAACCAACAAGCCCGATTCTTCACGCCCTGGAACCATGTAAAATCATTTATACCTGCGCAGAGTGGTGTGAAATACTACCATTCTGAGCTGATGGCAGTTTCCTTTGACATTGCACGACTACACAAGGAGGATCAGACCCTGCATGTTTAATAAATGAGTTGTCTTAATTACCGCACACTATAATTGTTGTCTTAATTTTGGTTAGACAAAAACAAACAAAACCCCAAAACACACTAAACAAAATATACTGTCCCCATTGAAATGTTTTACAGTATCACACAGCTCTTGCTAAAGAGAAGACAGCATTTCACATAGCATGTGTTTTGTATCCTTCAGCTTAACAGAGCGAAACTTCCTTACTGGAAGATGACCCTGCTCAATGTGTGCAGTCTTATAAACAACATAAACAACCAAGCAGAGGAAACAGCGGAGTCTGAGGAAGATGACCTCCTTCCGAGAGAACAGTTTCCTGCTGCTCTAGATGGCTCCAGCTTGGAAGCGATGCTGACAATATACCAGCTCCAAAAAGTCTGCCACAGCAGAGCCTTTCAGCACGGGGAGGTAAGCAACACATAAGTAATGCATGTCACTTGAAGGACTCTTCTTTGATGCTGTATTTATATTTCAAGAGAGCCTCAAAAACCTAGGTCCTGCCTGCTCTGTATGGACCCTTCAAAGCCTAAGTATATTTGGCCAAAATATCCCCTTCTTGCATTGTTGGGCACTGGTTATCCATCTCGCTGGTGCTCTCCATCTCTAAGTGGTTTCCTTAAGCAGTCTTGTACATATATCATTTCTGAAGAGCTGCAGGGTGCTTTGGACTATATCAATGTGAAATATTAACTATATCATTTCTCCACACTTTGTAGCCATTCCCCAAAAAACTAAGCAGAGATATGAAGATGAGCTTCTTGACAGAACAGAAAATTAAACTCTGTTCAACAGCAGTAGAGTTAGTCTGGATTTACAAAGGTGTGACTGAAAGTAGGAGATGGCCTTATGTATGTGCATAGGATCGTTGGGCCCACTTTGTAGTTGTCCATTTGCACTACCTATGTCAGTACAGCGTGAATGCAAAGCTACCATGGTTGCCCTGGGGAATACCATGAGGCAGGGTGTTTCCCCATGAGCATTGCCCAGAGGCCCAGGAGACAGAAAAGGTGGTTTAGAGCCATTTTGCTCTCTCTCTCCAGTATGCACTCTCTTCTCAGGTGCGCCAAGTTCATGCTCAGCACAGCTGAGGGGATTCAGCCCATTGGATCTGGTGGACCACAGCAGTGCATTTTCAAGCCTGTGCACCAGAATCCTCTGCATGAGCTGCAGTAGCACTTACACAGAACTGTAACAGCAGTACGTTTAGCGCTGAAGAGTAGCTGCAGTAGAACTGGCATGCTTCACCATGATACTGAGGTGTCTCTTACCCTGGAGATGCAGGTACATGTCGCAGAAACTGGGGCTTCCCAGCCTCAAAGAAGCCATAGATAGAGAAATTATGGTTCTGTGCAGCTTAGATGTGAGGTAAAGGAGTGCAAAGAAATATCAGACAAGTTTAAGAGAGAAGGGGAGGAAAATGAGGGAAGAAGGGATTGAGGAACCTTGAGAAAGGGCTCCACTGCTGACCATGACACACCTTCCTGTGATCCTATTCATCCAAGCTCTGTTTCAAAGCCCATTGAAATCACTTGGAGTCTTTCCATTGATTCCAATGGATTTTAGATCAGGCCCCATTTACTAAGTAATCAATAGATTTTAGTGCCCCAAAGCAGGGCTTAAATTCAGCCATAGCCATCTGGAGTGGAGCTCCAATAAATATTTTCAATCCCACGGGAGCCCCGGCACGTGAAGCCCCAACCCTGATGCCTCCCACAGGAATGAAGTCCCAAGCCCCAGGGCTCCAGGAAATACTCTGAGAATTTAAGCCCTACCCCAAACAATTAAGTTTGGAGTGCTACAAAAGTTTTAATTGAATAACCCTCTGTCAGCCAGTTGGATTGTGTGTGATCATTAAAAGGTGCAGTAATAAGAATGGATTAAATCATTTCAGATAACTAAGAAATGACCTGACCCTTCATGCAAAACTCAAAGCACAATTGTTTTTTAACATTCTGACATTTACAACTGTCATTTTGTTGATATTCGTACATTTCTGGTTTTTAAAATTTTATGCATTTCTCATTTTGCCTACTAATATTGCTAGGAAGGATAAAACTAGCAAGTAGTGGAAATCTCATGAGATTTCCAGCCTAAATTTTAGACCAAAGAAGTTAATATAAGAACCTTAACTTCTGAAACTTCATCCATATTAAATGAAAGCTCCCAGGGTGAAATCTTAGCCTCACTCGAGTCAATGTCAACAGTGTCATTTACTTCAATGGAACCAGGATTTCACCCACAAAATTTTGAAATTTACTCATCATCTCTGATTAGAGATTAGATAGGTATTGCTTTATAATTAATTCTTTGAAACTACTAAAGTCCATTATCTTTTTTTTTCTTGTGGGTTTATTAAGAGAATATAGATTTACAAAAATATCAAGAGATTAATATTTTTCTTTATCTTTAATCCAAAGAAATACAGAGATTCCAAAGTGTCTCTTCTCATGTCTTACAGATACTTCAACAGGATGTTTTCAATCAAGAGGATTCAAACCAAGATATAATGAAGAGAAAAACTCCTTATATCCTGAAACGGCAACTACATGTTAACAAAGCCAGAAGACCGTACATACTCAAGAGAAGTTCATATTACTGATGCAGCAAAGACAGCAATGTATATTTAGTTTGAGTAACTGTGCTTTATGGTTCTTATTTAAATCTAAAATCATATTTGTGTGAAAAATATACTATGAAAAATCATCAAGATTATAACATAACTGTGTCTTTTTTGCAATTGTTGTTTCTTGAACGTGATTTTTCCTACTTGAGATTAATTGGACCAATACATTTACAAATAAATCTAGTTTCTAAGCATGATGTACACATCTGAGATTTCAACATATTTGCTACAATATAAGAGGGTTTTTTGTGTTATAAAACACACCTTCCTACACCAAAAAGTAAATCAATAGTCCATAAACACCAGTAAATATCATAAAATGTCTCAAACACCTCAAAACCAATCTATGCTGGCAAACTGATGTGTAATATGGTGATCAGAATTGCCACAATGTTTTCTGACCAGTGGCAATTATCAGGGTTTAAGTCTAAATAAGCAAGGAAACATTGTGCATTGGCTATTAAGTTGAAAATTCAAATATCTTTTAAGTGATCTTCCTTATTTTGGTGGCTTTAACTTGTTGATTCTTCATGGACCAGTGAAGGACCATGATTTAATAATAAATAATAATAATAATAAATTATATTATTGCTATTAGAGAGAAAATATTTTCACCGATGTCTGCTAGTTGAACAAAGCCAGAAGGTAGTATCTACTTCAGAGAAATTCATATTATGACTGAGGCAAGAAAGCAACATTTATTTCATTTATGCAATCAATTAAGCAACTTATGTTCTCTCCATACTTTATGCATGCTGAATGGAAGGACTTAGTTTTACTCTTTAAGAGATGATCTAAAGTCCAATGAAGTCAATGAAAATGTCCTAAATCATGGTCATGGTTCCGATTGCAGGTGAACCACGACTCAACATATCCATCAGAGCTGTGGATTATGCAGGATTAGCTTTGGTATTAAAAAGTTCCAGCACAGTGAATCATGACTAAGGCCTGGTCTACACTGGGGGGGGGGGGAAGGGGGAAATCGATCTAAGTTACGCAACTTCAGCTATGTGTAATGTAGCTGAAGTCGACGTACTTAGATCGACTTACTGTGGTGTCTTCACTGCGGTGAGTCGACAGCTGCTGCTCCCCCGTCGACTCCACCTGCGCCTCTCATGACGGTGGAGTACAGGAGTCGACGGGAGAGTGCTTGGGGATCGATTCATCATGTCTAGACTAGACACAATAAATCGACCCCTGCTGGATTGATCGCTGCATTTAGTGTAGACATATCCTAAGACTAAGCTTTTGTCACGGGTATTTTTAGTAAAAGTCACAGACAGGTTGCGGGCAATAAACAAAATTCACGGAAGCCCATGACCTGTCTGTGAGTTTTACTAAAAAGTAAATGGAGGTGAGAGGGTGGGCTTAACAGTGTGAGCCCCATCAGGGGCTGACTGCCAGCCGCTGCTCCAGCACCGCCGCTGCTCTAGCCCCGCAGCCTGCTCTTACAGTGGAGGCTGACCCAGCTCCGGGCACTGCTGTGGGCCTGGCTACTGCTCAAGCCCCAGGGCTGACTGCGGCCGCTGCTCCAGTCCTGCTACTGCTCCTGGGCAGGGGCTGATAACTGCTCCAGCCCTGCCACTGTGGTGGGCTGAAGCCAAAAAAGTCACAGAAATTCCTTAATCATGGAATCCGTGACATCCACAACAGAATCATATCCTTAATCATGACCAAAATAACATTTTTACAGTGAGGACATTATACTGTACATTTTACTTTGATTACATTGAGGATAATCACACTTCCCATTGTCACCCACAGATTGTATTTATCTGTTTGTTTTTAAATAGCCATATAAACTTTGCAGCATGGCATGTGATGTGTGAACTCAAAGATGTATGCACTAATTTCAAAAATAATCATAATTCCAATACAGCAAAGCAATAAAGCACATGCTTAATATTAAGTCCTAGTGACTTAAAGTTAAGCATGTGCTTTGCTGAGCTGAGGCCTGACACTGGGTCACAGCCTTCCCAGTGCCCTCTCATGGATAGATGACTGCAGCAGTCCTGCCTCAGTTTCCCTCTCTGAAGGGCACCTTGAGTACTCCACACCACAGTCCAACCATATTTAAAACAAGTTTCCTCTTCAAGAGTCCAATTTATTTAGTCCTGCCAACAAGATGGCATAAATCAAATGGAACTCAAAACAAAAAAACAAGCAAGTCTTCACCTCAGTCTCAGGCTGGGTCGACCCACTCCTCTCTGTGGGTCTGTCTTTCACAGTGTGACATTACCCAAGGTACAGTCTGAACTGTTGAACAGCTGTGTTTCCCCCCTCTCCCCAGTTCTCCAACCTAGGGTGCCTCTTACACTGCTTTGCTGTGAGAACAGTCACTCCTAGCCAGTTAACACAGTCTCCAGCAATGTAACTTGGTCCCAGTCACATGTTATTGACTGCTACTAGCTAGCCACTCATTAATTAAACTGCAGATCAGTACCGGTACTCTCTCTAGTTCCAGACTTTCCCCCAGAAATGTTTCTTGTACTGCCCAACATACTGCTGAATAATGTAAGCTCACATAAAGTCTGTCATTTTGTCATTGGAAAATGACATACACCGGCCTTGTTGTCCAAATGGAATTTCCCCATACACTTTAATCCTGGTTAGGACTAAACACTGGTTAAGATAAAACAGTAAAACAAGTTTATTATTAACTACAGAAAGAAAAGATAGATTTTAAGTGATTACAAGTAATGAAGCATAAAAGTCAGGATTGGTTACAAAAGAAAAGATAAAACACAAACTAAAGTCTTACTTAATAAACTTACAGAATTCAAAGCAAAGGCATTTCTCTCACTGCACAACACATTTCACAGGCTAGGTCTCTATTCAGCCCAGATCCCCCCCACCTGAGTTCAGTGTCCTTCTGGTATTCATTGATATCATGAGCAGAGATAGGAGGAAGAGGAGTGAAGTCCAATGTTTTCCTCCCCTCTTTATAATTCTGTTTCTTGTACTAGAAACATCCTTCCTGACTCATGGTGACAAAAACATTCTCTTGTGGACCTGAGGTTTGAACTGTCCCTGTGATGGAATGCAAATTTCTTGTTTACCCCTTCCCACCTGCTGGAGAATGGCTGCTTAAACTGGTGATAGCCCTTTAGCACCTGTCTGGAGTGCCAGTGTGTTTTTGCCTCTGAAAACTGGTTTGGGTTGCTTTTCGTAATCTTGGAGCACGTTATACCAAAGTCATACAGTAGATCTTGCGACTATAAATAAAATATTGCCACACATTTTGCCAGGACAATAATGTTCAGCAGATTATGACTTTTCAAATGATTCCTCACAAGGAATATTTTGTACAAAATATATTACAACCTTATAAATGGGTGAACATGGGGTACAGGTTGTCACACAAAGTTCATGCACTTTTTTGCACCACTCCTATGCTGGTCTGTCTGCCTTCTCTCCCAGCAGTGACACCTCAGACTTCTTGCCTGGAGTCTTCCACAGGCTCAGTGTCCAAGTGGCCCTCCACGCACAAACCTTTCCCCTGATTAATGATCTCCTGCTCACTGCAGCCTCTGGCACAGCTTCCTTTCCCTTCATTCCCGGGCCTCTTCCTTATTTCTCAAGGCTTGGCCTGAGTTAGTTAAATGACCCAATGGTTTTCTTATCTGGGGAAATGAGCTGATCCTATCACCAGTGAGATTGAGCCCATATCCCCTTAAGAAGCCAGCCTCTTTGTGAAAGGGCTTAATAATAAACTACAGAACATCCATATAGAATTTGAAACAGTTTTAGTATCTGTTTTTTTCAGGCCAGTGCTGATAAATACTTGGGACAAAATCCATATCGTTTAAAAAAAATTGTACGTATTATTGTAAGTTTGGGAGTGTATATGAAAGGAGAGTCAGGATGATCTTTTTTATTAAGGTGTGGAAATAGGTGGGAGGGAACACGCTCTCATCCAAATGTGCAAGTTCTGTAGATCTAAAATATAGCATTAGTAATTCCAAATGGTTTCCCTGTTGACCTGAAATAACAAAGCAGAAGAGATTCTCTTGAAAGTTCACGACTGGAGAATTCTGCTCTCTTAATCACTAGAGAACAAGGAAAAAAAAACATCTGTGACCAAGACAGTCATTTCCCTCACACACCTTCAATAAAAGAGAAGAAAACATAATTCTTACAGCTCTGGCAGGGATTTGGAGGACAGAGTGTGAAAAATCCTGGCCTAGCCATAGAAACAATATCCATAATTCTGGAAAATTAGACTTATTTTCTTGCTTTCAGTAAAGACATGGAGGCAAATGTTGTTGGCACTTTAAAACTAAATGCCAAACATGAATGGAAAGGAAACAAAATTCAGGAAATATATTACAATCATGTTATTCACCCATATGAAAGTTCAATTGATATTATAAGCCAAGCTTTCTAGAGTTCAGAATTTCATTATGGAAATTCAGTCTGGAAAGAAAATTGGTTTGTAAAACCAACAACATATTTTCAGTCAACATGATTAAAATTAACTAAGATATTTGTAAGTTGTAAAAATAATAATCAAGGCATTTTAAAGTTTTGTTAATTCAGACATTTTTTTCCTCTTTCATACTCATAAAATAGGCTTAACTCTTAAGTATTATTTTGAAGGCCATTAGTACAGACTGTTGACTTGGCCCTTTAGAAATGTTTTTTGGTGATGAGCTATTTGTGTTTAATAAAGCAATTACTGAGAGATTTGGCTATCTGTCACTGTAGCTTAGAGCTGTATGAATAACACATTTTTCAGTTTGATGGTTATTCCAAAAGTTAAAAAAAAATAAATGGTTTCAGGTTGAGCTGAAAATGAAATTCTTTAAATTGTTTTGCCACTCAAAACATTTTTTTTTTAATTTGTTTCAGGTTGTACGCTCATTATGATTTTGAGCACTATTTATCTTTTAAAAAGTTTTAAAAATAAAATTAAAGGAATTTTCAAAACAAAAGCAATTTTGAAGTGAAAAATCAAAATGTTTCATTTCAAAATGTCAAAATAAAAGATTGTTTGCAATGATGTTGTAGCCAGGGTGGAGAGGAGAAAGACAAGGTGGGTGAGGTAA